GAAAAGGAATCTTTCATGGGAAGAAAGTCCAGGACACCAAAGGAGTGTCGTTGGTTYCAGAAGGTATTCTRTTTGTTCTTGCTGCATTTTTTGGTTGTTTTCTGTACCTCTTTTGAGACACATGGAGGGACACAGAGTTGAATATAAGCCCGGGAATGAAATGGGACCAGTGAGAGGAGGTGCTGGAAACCCCTTCGGAGCTGGGACCATTACTACAGTTAGGTTGGATGGTACAAACTACTCTGCAAAGATGGCCATTGAGGCTCGTGGAAAATTGGGGTATATTACTAGTGAAGAGGTGAAACCCGAAACTGTCAACTCCCGGTGAGTGCAGGAAAATTATATGGTAACGACATGATTGTGTAATTCTATGTTGCCACATATAAGTAAAACTTTTTTATGGGCAAACACTACTAAGGAGATATGGGATGGGGTTGCAGAAACCTATTCACAAAGGGAGAATGTTGCTAGGGCTTATCAACTGAGAAATCAAATTATTGCCACAAGGCAAGGAGATAGATCTGTTGCAGCCTATTTTTCAGTCCTTAAGACCCTGTGGCAAGAGATCGATCATCTAGAGACCTTTGCTTGGGAAACCACCAAGGATGCCGCTACCCATCAAAGACATTTAGAGAAGTATAGGGTGTTTGAATTCCTTGCTGGCCTTAACCCTGAGTATGACATTGCACGACAGCATCTTCTTTCTAGGGACAGTGTCATTCTCTCCCAAGCATATGCCTTTGTGTCAGGAGAGGAGTGCAGGAGGGATGTAATGATGAAAAATCTTAGTTCTGATCAGTCTGTTATGGTAAGTGCTGTGAAATCTAAACAAAATGGCAATGAAAACAAAAAAGAAGACAAAAGGAACTTGGTCTGTAACTACTATAAGAAGCCTAAGCATACAAGAGACACTTGTTGGAAGCTTCACCCACATCTTGCGTCGACCAGACTGAAGAATAAGAAAGGAAATGCGCACATGGCAGTTACTGGTGATACTCCGCCCCCCCTACTACAGCTGCTTTGGAGTCCGTTATAGCTGCTGCAGTAAGGGCCGAGCTTGAGAGGTTTGGGTTACTTCTGAATCAGAGGGATACAGCTAGTTCCAGTTCAGTCGTAAGCGGACAACAAGGTACAGATAGCACAGGTGGAGCTCACTCTACCTCCTTTGCCCACACAGGTAGTTCACATGTCACTGCAAACTATGTCTCTGCTTCAGGTAAGGAGAGATCTCCTTGGATTATAGACTCTGGAGCCTCAAAGCATATGACCCATTGCTCCACTATTTTCTCCTCTTATCAGCTCTGTTCTGGCAGAGATAGGGTCTCCACAGCTGATGGATCCCATGTT